TATTATATACAAGATGTCTCGTGAAAGGACGTCAGAACTTCAGAAGGTTATCCTAAATCCATTATATTTAGTGGTCAAATTGATCAATTGATCATTGATGATTGGTGGTATTGATCAAATTACTTCTTTCAATTAACTTATCTTTTTATGTAAGGTTTTGGTTGAAATGAAAAAGCCAGTGCCACGAGGGGGAGTCGAACCTACGACCTTCGGCTCAATACGCCGCTGCTCTACCACTTGAGCTATCGTGACTTCGATCCTAAATGTCAAATTTTACTAAAAAAGTCCCTATTTTTCAAAGTCTGATTTTCAATTACATTCGAGATATTTCGTTTTTCAGGCTACTTTCAACCTTAGACAACTTTGTTCCATAAGGTCCGGCGTATCTCATAAAACAACTCCCCTCCTCTCCAAATCTCAACGGTAAAGAAGAAATTTCAGGTTTTGGAGTTTTTTAATTTTTCTACTTAGGTCCACTAAATTGCTTATAAACTTCAGAATTACTGAGTGTAGAAAAATCGGTTTGTGCCACCTGAAAGAACGTTAAATTTGCAGCAAGGAAACCTATTTACATTACAGAATCGATGAAAAAAAAACTTGCAATCTGGAATTTTTTTAAAATGTTGGATTGATAACTGTTAATAACTACAAACTCTGGAGTTTTACAAATTCCCTGAAAAGTTCCCCATTCCGTTAGCTTCCAGCGGTATAACCAACGTTTTGGATTGCGTTTCTGGAAGGATCCAAAATTTCGCATTTTATTTTTTTTCCGTCCGAAAACCGTCTGGCTCTTGAGTTTCGTGTCAGTTCTATATAGTTTTGATTCAATCAGTTTGCTTTATGTTTTCAGCTGACAAGATCCGCAGGTTGATGATTTAAAATATGTCTTTATTTCCTTATGAACATCTTGCTGATATGCATTTCATTTAGGGTTATTGCAACGGTAATGCTACAGTTGCAAGGGGAGAATAAAACAAGTTTTCCACATCGAGACGTTCCAGCAGATCGCACCTTCCAGCGACTTCATCAGAGGCTGAGGGAAACTGGTTCAACCAACTCTATGCGAGACTCTCCATTGAAATTCTCGCCACACCATCACTGAGTTGACAAGATCGACTCTGGGAAAAATTACAAGCTTCGTACCTTTCATTTCGCCTTCTCCTCGCGCTTTCATTTGGAGATTGCAGAGCAAATCTACACTCATGTGTAAAAAGTACAGCAGACCAATCGTCCAAAGACCAATAGCTGTGTTCTCGAGAAAACGCGAGCCGTGTAACTCCGTGTGTTTTGGTCAATTCTGGTCTTCCTACCGGGCGAAAAACCATCAGTCCATACTGATTTATCTTCTTCGAGCAGTGCGTTCAGAAATGTGTACACCTCGAACTGCCTGGAGCTGATGAATCGCTTGAACAACAGTAAGGTGCCAGTTTCGCAAAATTCTCAAAGTCAAAAAACGGTCATCCTGTTCTTCTGTTACCCTTGGGCGTCCAGAACCGGACCTTCTAAGGTAGGACCCAGTTTCTCGAAAACGTCTCGCAGTTTTTCGTAGGGAACTCCGATGGCAATAGCTGCATACCTGATGTAACGACCATCATTAATAAATGCCACACCACGCGCAACATCCTCAACACTAAATGGCATTTTTAAGTTTAAAAATAGAAATTAAGAAAACAAAGATGAAAACTAAACAGTTTATTGCTTCAGAATTCAAATGAGACTGAATAAAGATTTTAAATTCCGTAAAAATTGAAAAATTCTTTATCTTAGTATTGGATTAAGGATTAAGTGTGTTTACCTTTAATTGATACTCCCTATGTAAAACATAGCATAAACAAATATTTATTGGTAAAAACAATGAAACAAATTAAGGACAGAATTTTCTTTCATGGAGAAAAAAAATCAATTGGGTGAAATTTTTTGCCTGTCAGTGTATTTTGCGAAGGGTTGTAGTGAGAGGTGCGAGAGGATGGACACCCAATTCAGCTAGATCATCTTCGGTTAAGGTCCTCCAGATCACCCTGGTATTTTAGTCCGACGCATTTCGTCATTTATCAAGCTTTAGATTATAATTTAAACGTTAATATTTTGACGCAGTTTGTCAGTACTCAACATAAAACATATGAATAGAAATGATAAATGATGGAGTGAGTGAGGTGTTAAGAAGCTTACTGTGAATAGGAACTATCTTTAAAAAAAAGGATAAAATATATTAAGTACGCACCTTTTGCCTTTCTCAAGCTCTCAAAAGTTAAATTATGATATTGTTTTCCTAGGTTTTAAGGCGTTATGGCACAGTCCAAATAATTTCGTGATATCCCATACGGGCAAAGTTCATTCGTGCCGCCTTCGAAGCTGCAGAGGGGGAAAGGTCATCGCGGCCAACAATGAGCAAAGAAAGACGCGTTTCCCCTGTTCTCACTAAAGCTCTCTTTAGGTTAAGGACGTTTGCTCATCGGCAAAGGCTGAAATGAAAAACAAAAAACAAAAAAAACTCGCCAACATTTTTAATAGATAAATTTAATACAAATTAGTCATAAAAATCACTTCCAAATGAGCCACAACTATTCAAATGCATGGTTAAAGAAGAGAGGTTATAGAGAACAAACTCGTTTTTTTTAATGTGGACTCAGTCTTCCTCAGATTTAAAGATGTTTGTTTAAATAATAAAATATCGTTTATTTTTATGAAATCAGTCAATTTCGAACCGTTTTTACAGCTGACCCGAGGGGAGTTGGTTGAAGTCATCGACCATAACGTTTCAACTGCACTTAAAGCAAAGATTGCTACTGCCGATAGTAATTAAAATCTTTTATTTATTACATAAAATTTATACAGGGTGCTAACTAAAACTTGAGGACGTTATCCTGACATGTCAGATTAGACTAACAAGTCTCTATTGATCAAAATCTGATACTCAATTGAGCCGAGATATTTCATTTTTCAACTTCAATCTTTCACAACTTTATTCTTTAAAGTTTCTCAAACAAAGTAAAAGCAAAATTTTAATAATATATATTTATTCCATCCTGTTTAACAAAAACTACTGTTTATTTTTCACTACCCAGCACACTGATTGGTCGCATCATTTCCAAACAATCCAACATCCTCGAAACTTTTTATTTTTATAGATATAATTAATGTTGTATCTGCAGTATTTCTTTATCAATATCAACATTGGTTTCATTACAAAATTGCCCTCTTCGTTACTATAGGATAAAGATCTCTTTTTAACTGATATAAGAGAAGCGAATTTCCGTTCTAACTTTAAGTTATTCTTTACTTTACGGACTACCAAAACATTCATTATCAAGTTGGCATAAATTTGACTTTTCGAATAAAATACCGTTGAAATAATATACAAAGAAAATTAAAGCATTGACAGTTTAGCATAAAACAATACAGCAAAGCTAGTCAGTGAATGCATCCAAAATCTTCAAACCTGAGGAAAAACAATAACCCGATGACATTGTGGTGGACAGGGCACAAAGGAGGTTTGGGTAACGAAAAGGCAGGCACACTAGCCAGAGAAAGATCTGCAAGACCATAGGTCCTGAACTTATTCTTAACACAAACAGAGAATCTTCCATTATACAATGGATCCAAAAAGGACAGGAGAAGTGGATAAACTCGAGTTCCTAGGCATAGTAAGCTTATGTTAAAACAACCCTCACCAAGACTGGCAAATTCACTGCTGTAGTTGGAGAGGGCTAAACTCAGAGGAGAACTGCGGTCACTGCTATCTGAGAAAACATCTGCACATGAGTATATTCAGTCGCATTTGTTGCATTTTCAACGAGTCCAGTCATAGGAGTAAAAAACAGCCAGCTACATCTTCTAATGTGATGCAACTGCTGCATGGAGACATAACCTGGGACACAAAAAATGTAATAATTAATATAAATATAAATAGTTGCAAACGACGATCAATGATTTATGACTCATTAAAAGAAGGATCGATTCGACAGACTGAACTAAGGAACTAGGAAAGTACAATAAGCCGGATGGCTGCAGTGCTTGGAGTACATAAACCCTCCATCTCCCAGTCTACTATTATCATCACAATCCGATATGGATAAACGGAATTGCAGTTTGGGGATCATCTCAATGGAGACATAAACTGGGTTACAAAGAAAATCCATGAATATAAATAGAACCAACGATGGTCAATGATTTATAACTTATTAAAAGAAGGATCGATTCGACAGACTGAACTAAGGAACTAGGAAAGTACAATAAGCCGGATGGCTGCAGGGCTTGGAGAACATAAACCCCATCTCTCAGTCTCCTTCTATCATCATCATCATCTGATTTGGACAAACGGAATTGAAGTTTGGGGGACATCTCAATGAAGACATAACCTAGGAATTGGAAATTTCAAAGAAAGCCCTGGGATTGGAATGCAGCGACGACATTCAATGACCTAGACTTTTTGTGAGAAGGATGAAGTCGATTGTACTGAACTAAGAAACTAGGAAAGTTCAAGCTTGAAGGTTGCACTGCCTAGGGAACAAAAACCTCCATGTCCTAGTATCCATCACCATCATTATCATCACTATCCGATATGGACAAACGGAACTGAAGTTTGGGAATCACCGAACAAATTTAATACATGGAAAATACATTCCATCAAATCAAAAATACTAATCCCATTTATAATTGATATTATTAAATCCCTTCACGCCAATCCACTAGTCCAACAGCTTTGTCCTAAAACTCCTGGAAATTCCGTCGTTGGAAGAGGCTGTGGCTGAGAGATGTCTTGAGAGATTGGACTCAATGTGAGGCTGGCGGCTTCTATCAAGTGTAACTTGTCACTATGTTATCTCAAGTGCTTGTTGCCGCTAAAAATCACAGTTGAAATGGCTCTTGAGTCCGTAATCTCGGCCGTAAGAAAAAGGAATGGAGAAAGGGAACTGTAAAATAGTTGTTACAGGGGAAAAGCAAATGCTGTAAATGCAAGGTGAGAGGGGGGTCTCGTAGATGAGGGGTGGAAGTGGGGTTTGTGCGCTCAGTGCTATCTCAGCCCAGTCATAGTGTGCATCTCACCGATTTTACAACTCGTAAGTCACTTTCTCTTCATTCTTTCAACTTCTCTCCACCTCCACGAATCACTTTCCACTAACGCTAGGAGGCTAACGCAGTCCCTAGATTTATTGAGATCTTAAGACTCGTACTTTTTTGCGGTTGAACTTCGAATCAATTTTCTAGCTCGGAGACCACAAAAAGGTTAGAGTTCTTAAGAATAAATTATAATTTCGTCTGTACGCTCTTATCTTCCTGAATTAACGAGTCACACTCTCTTTTTTATTTTTTCTATTTACATTTTTTTTAAATTGACAATCCGTTTGTGACAATCACCGGGTCATAGGTCAAAAGGAAAATTCAGTGCATCGAGTCTAGTATGATCTTTTTTTTGTCTTGGGTGCGGAGCTCTACGCATTTTGTCTTAACCGTTCAAATCTACGGCCGTTTCCGCATACGAAACTTCTCTTTAGTATTCACGGGCTGGAGGGTCGTCATTTCGAATTCCAGTGCAAATAACAGTGTACGAATTTTTACCACTACTAATTTAACACATTTGAATCAAAACAACTCGATGTCATTTTATCAAATGTCTCAAAAGCTAGTCAATATTGACCTTATTTTACATAAAATTCACCTATATGGGATATGTAGTGAACGTTATTCTTCTCTGTTTTCAAAATGACCTTAAACGTTTCAAATTTTGAAAGATGTTTATTAACTTTTTTTAGAATTTTATTTCTTGTTCTGGCGTCCCACCGGGCTTTCTTTTAGGACCGCTATTGTTTATTTTTATTGATTGACGATATTGATATTATATCTTCCTTTTCTCCTTTCTCCTGTCAATTTTCTTCTTTTTAAGCCCTCAGGACATATAATTCTCTTTCGGAAACATTACGTTGGTTTCGTGAAAAAACGGGTTGCTATCATATTTAAATTTATAGAACTTAGAATTTCAATTATGATTAAATTTCAGATGACCTTCTAAGAGCTGAATTATTTTATATTTTGACAAAAATGTTCGAATATACAGGTACTTTTTTTCAAATGCTTTTATTTCATACCATCTCTTAAGTCTTTTTAATGCTTTAAAGAAAGGGTTAATTTGAAGTTGATGAAGCTTAATTGGAAGGGCTCTCGTTTAGGACAGTTACTCTTTCTTTATTAACGATATTGATTCTTAATTTTCTTATGTTAATTTTCGTCTTTTTAAGCCCTCAGGATATAATTTTTGGACAAACTTCTCTTTCGAAATCATTCGGACTTTATATAACTTGGAATTTCAATTATGATTAAATTTCCAATGACCTCGTAAGAGCTGAATTATTTTATATTTTGAAAAAAGTTCAAATATGCAGGAACTTTTCTTCAAATGTTTTTATTTCATACCATCTATTAAGTTTTTTTTATCGCTTTAAAGCAAGGGTTAATTTGATATTAAAAAGTGTTTATTTGAAAGTTAAAACGGCTAATTTGATATTAGAAAAGCATAATTCGAAAAGATACCGTTTCTTTTATTTTTAACGATAATGATTCGTTCATTTCTTCTGTCAATTTTCTTCTTTTAAAGCCCTCAGGACATAATTCTTGGGCAAAGTTCTCTCTCGGACTTGATTTGACTGTAGACGGTTCAAAATCCTGTCTTTCTACTGAGGCTTTTAAAAGAGTCTGCTCTTATTAGTATTAATACTAATCTTGATTTAAATGTCTATTATGTTAAAGACAAGGAATCATGTTTCAGCCTGTCCTTTTCACTCCGTACTTCATCGACAGTAAATAAAATTTTTAGTAACTAGTGTTATCATCACATGAGTGATATGATAAGTGATTGCTACTTTAAAAGCAGTGAAGAAATAATGATATCCATGTTGTTCTAAAAAATTTAAGAAATATTTGTTCCGTTTATAGGCGTTAACTCACCTGAGGAAGGATTTAAAAAAAATCCTTTTTAAAAAAATTTTTTTTTTTTGGATGATCTATTATCCCACCTTTGAGAAGGAAAAATCATTAACAAATTAAAGTAGCAATCACTTATCATATCACTCATGTGATGATAACACTAGCTACTAAAAATTTTATTTACTGTCGATGAAGTACGGAGTGAAAAAGACAGAAGTGTTGAGGTCGAAATATAAGAAAACATCTTAATTTAATTTTATATAACTTTTAATTTTAATTATTTTTCTTGTGGTCTTCTAAAAGTCCAATTATTTTATAATAACAAATCTCAAATAAACAGTATATATACAATATACCATAGCACAAGTGGTTAGAGCAAAGGCGTATTGAGCCGAAGGTCGTGGGTTCGAATCCCGTTCTTGACACTGACTTTTTCGTTTCAACCAATACCTTACATAAAGATTAATTAATTGAAAGAAGTTATTTCGTCAATCGGACCACGAAATATAATGGAATATGTATACAGTTCTTTGTTTACCATAAAATTTTACAAAAAAAAAAAAAAATAAATTCATGTGTACATAGATTTTATACGTTTAGTAACTTAAGACAGTTTACATGGTCTCTCTAGACCGTTAGAGGAGTTTTGAAAATACCATGCCAAAATTTTCATAAAAATTTCAAAATACAATTCAAATTATTCAAGATATACAGGGTGTCCTTTTTAGATGGTCTGGCTGAATTTCTCTTGAACCAATGTCACTAAAAAAAAAAAGTGTTTAATATTTTTTAGTCTTGTTTTGACATTTTTAACTTTTTTGGAGAAAAATTATACAGGGTACCTCACGCCCAGATCAAATTCAAAACCTCAAATACGACCCTATACATCCTGACACATCATTTTAAAGGATTTTTCCCGTAGGCTAGAAGTTTTATTTTTTTATTTCCCATCAATCTTCCACCCAGTCTAGGCAGACTTCTAGATCGTTGAGAAAAAGTGTAAACAAAAGTGGACTAAGAAAGGCACCCTGCCTCATAAACCGTTTTTATAATGGTTTACCATCTCCGGAGTTTTTTACCCTAGACCTTTATTACTCAAAATAACCCGTTCTTTTAAGCAATAAAACTATTAGGATTTCGAAAAGCCTTATAAAAACTGTATATTTGAGATTTTTTATGAAAATTATCTACAATTAAAATCAAAAGTTATATCAAATTAAATATAAAAATAAATACCAATTAATTATTCCTTTTATTTAAGGTTTTAGGTATAATTAATTGGAATAATTAATATGGTCAATTATATCGATATCACATATGGATAATAATAAATTATTCATCTTTTTATTTGAGATTTTTAAAAAATCATAAAATGGGTTCTTATCTAAAATATCATAAGAAAATTAATCACCATTAAAATTAAGAGATATGTAAAATTATGTATTAAAAACAAATGATTCTTCTAATAATTCGAGATTTTTTAAAATTGAAATAATTATTTTATCGTTAAAAAAATCTCGAATTAATAAAACAACCATTTATTTGTTTTTATATTTAATTGTATACAAATTTGATTTTAATTGTGATTAATTTTCGAACGGTCTACGTTAAATTATGTAACGAGCTATGTAAAATTACGTATTGACAACAAATGATTGTTCTAATAATTAAATTTTTTTTAAAATTGAAATAATTATTTTACAGACAAATTATTTTATAGTTAAAAAATCTCGAATTAATAAAACAACCATTTATTTGTTTTTATATTTAATTGTATACAAATTTGATTTTAATTGTGATTAATTTTCGAACGGTCTTCTAAGCGTTCAATTATTTTATTTTTTGAAAAAATACTCAAACATGAATTTTCTTCACATGCTTATATTTCATAGCATCTTTTAAGTTATTTTAATGCTTTAACAAGGGGTTAATTTTCAATTATAAAGGTTCAATTTCAAAGTAAAATAGGTTAATTTGAAGTTAAAAGGCCTAATTTGAAGTTATAAAGGGTTAATTTTACGATAAAAGCTATATACATTTATTATCTCTTGTCTGTGATGGCTGTATTATTGTACTTATTTCAGTATTTGGCAAGTTCACTTTGCAAATGCAAGTTAAATAGCGTCAACTGCGGATTCCTTAAAAAAAAAATTATTTGAAGTTGCAAGTTTAACCTAATTTACCCATGTACCTCGTCAAGCTCTAGGCAAGGAATCGTAATTAAAAATACAGAAATAAATAATTAGGTCTCTTGGAAGGAAGAAGGTGCTGATTACAATACTAGGAATGACACCTGCATCTATGCGTTGTAAACAGATAATTTCACATACCTCCTCCCCTCAAAGATGAACCCTGGGGTTTCTAAATTTACTTCGTTTTCTATATCTACAATATTTTTCATAAAATATCTTTCTAATTTCTTAGAGCTAATTAATTATACAACATATGATGTTTAAAATTAATACAAGATACAGTGTACATGCCCATATGGTAGGATAGATAACATATTGGTGGGCATGTTTATTTAATTAAAGGTATTCGGCGAAATCTTCCTTAGGTTGATGATCCCTGAAGATTGCTTCGGTGAAATTGATAGTTTTGCACCAAGGTGGGTTTTCCATAAGTGAACGATTCGAAGATTAGTGATTTGTTTTTGTACATCATTTCTTCATTCTTAGCTTTAATGAGAAATATCCCTTCCATGGTTTTAGTTTCGATGAAATTATCTTGTCTTGATGTTATCAGGGGTTGTGGATATCGCCAGAAATTGGATGATTTCCGGAATAAACATTAGTTGATTATCCTCGATTGTGAGTTCACTGGTTTCCAGTCAACAGTAGTTCTTCTGTACAAGAATCTTGATGGGTGGATATTAATGACACTATGCGTTGTAAACAGATAATTTCACATAACTTACATATTTATATTTATTGCATTTCAAATTTATTTATTATTTATTTATTCGTCATGGTAGACACATATTATTAATTTCGTCTAGTTCCAACTAGTGTTTTACATTTTTTAGACGCTACTCGATTTCTGTTTTTGTTTCTTTGGCAACCTACGGGGAACACTGTGTGAAACGTATGGACGATATTTTCCACTTAATTTTTCCGTACATATCCGTCAAGCCGTCGAA